TTTTTTTTTTTTTTGCGATGACAGGGTTTCAACTCCTTGTTGCCCAGGCTGGGAGTGAAATGGTAAAACGATCTGGCTCATTGCGCAACCTCTGCCTCCAGGGCTCAAGCCATCCATCCCCACTCTCAGCCTCCCAGGAGGGCTGGAGGACTACAGGTGTACACCACTTCACTCCAACTGATTTTTGTATTTTTTTGTAGAGACAGGGTTTCCACCATGTTGGCCAGGCTGGTCTCAAACTCCTGACCTCAAAATGAAATGCCTGCCTTGGCCGTCCCAAAAGTGCTGAAGATTACAGGCGTGAGTCACCTACAACCTGGCCTCCAGAAGATATTTTTTAAGGACATCTTTTAGGCCAGGCACACTGGTTCTTGCCTGTAATCCCAGCACTTTGGGAGGCAAGAAGACATCTGTTAAAATCTACATGATTTCATTTGTCAATGTCTGATGATAAAGAGATCTAGGTTGGCCAGGCACGGTAGCTTACACCTGTAATCCTAGCACTTTGGGAGGCCGAGGCAGGCAGATCACCTGCGGTCAGGGGTTCAAGACCAGCCTGGCCAACATGGTGAAACCCTGTCTCTACTAAAAACACAAAAATTAGCCAGGCATGGTGGCACATGCCTGTAATCCCAGTTACTTGGGAGACTGAGGCAGGAGAATCGCTTGAACCCAGGAAGCAGAGGTTGCAGTGAGCCGAGATCACACCACTGTACTCTGGCCTTGGTGACAGTGAGATTACATCTTAAAAAAAAAAAAAGAAAGAAAGAAAGAAATTAGCCAGGCGCAGTGGCGTGTGCCAGTAGCTCCAGCTACTCAAGAGGCTGAGGTGGGAGGATCACTCAAGTCTGGGAGGTGGAGGCTGCAGTGAAGTTAGATCACAGCACTGCACTCCAGTCTGGTCAACAGAGTGAGACCCTGTCTCAAAAAAAAAAAGAAAAGAGGTCTAGGTGAAGCAAGTAAATAAGGTTAAAAAAACTCATTGACAGGAGAGAATTTTGGGGGTGATGGAAATGTTCTAAAACTGGACTGTAATGATAGCTATGCCAACTCCATAAATTCACTTAAAAATAATGGAATCATACACTAAAAAGGTGAGTTTTATGGTATGTAAAGTACACCTCCATTACGTTATAAAGAAATCAACAAAATTTTGTAATCCCAGCACTTTGGGAGGCCAAGGCAGGCAGATCACAAGGTCAGGAGATCAAGACCATCCTGGCTAACACGGTAAAACTCTGTCTCTACCAAAAATACAAAAAAAAATTAGCCAGGCATGGTGGCGGGTGCCTGTTAGTCCCAGCTACTCAGGAGGCTGAGGCAGGAGAATAGTGTGAACCTGGGAGGCAGAGCTTGCAGTGAGCTGAGACCGCACCACTGCACTCCAGCCTGAGCGACAGAGCGAGACTCCATCTCAAAAAAAAAAAAAGAAATCAACAAATTAACACACAGGTCCCATCTGTGTAGAAATATGGTCCTGCTTCGGCCAAGATTATTTCTGGCCCTGAGGCTCTACAGTATTCATCAGCACTTTCTAACTTTAATAAGTAACAAAAGTGATTTTAATCGATTACAGAAAAAGATGTTAAGTCCTCTTTTTTTCTAACATGGACTTTTAAGTGTTCTTTTAGGGTACATAACTGTTTAGTTCTCTTAATGATAGGTCTTACTTTTAAAAAAAAAATTCAGAGCCAGGCGTGGTGGCTCACGCCTGTAGTCCCAACACCTTGGGAGGCCGAGGCAGGAGGATCACCTGAGGTCAGGAGTTCGAGACCACTTGGCCAATATGGTGAAACCCCATCTCTATTAAAAATGCAAAAAAGTTAGCCGGGCATGGTGGCGGGCGCCTGTAATTCCAGCTACTCAGGAGGCTAAGGCAAGAGAATCACTTGAACCCAGGAGGTGGAGGTTGCAGTAAGCCGAGATCCCATCACTGCACTCCAGCCTGGGTGACAGAGCAGCACTCTGTCTCATTTAAAAAAAAAAAAAAAATTTTAAAAATTAAAAAAAAATTTTTAATCACAAGAAGCTTTAAATAGCAGAAAGTTCTACTTTCACATAGAAAAATTTTCAGAGTCCAACCTCTGTATTAGCACACAACAAGGGGTGGGTGCGGTGGCTCATGCCTGTAATCCTAGCACCTCGGGAGGCTGAAGCGGGTGGACTGCCTGAGCTCAGGAGTTTGAAACCAGCCTGAGCAACACGGTGAAACCTGTCTCTACTAAAATACAAAAAAATTAGCTGGGCATGGCAGCATGCACCTGTAATCCCAGTTACTTGGGAGGCTGAGGCAGGAGAATTGCTTGAACCCAGGAGGTGGAGGTTGCAGTGAGCAGAGATCACGCCATTGCACTCCAGTCTGGGCAACACAGCGAGACTCCGTCTTAAAAAAAAAAACACACACACACACAATAATAGTATATTTCTATAGACTTTACCTCCAGATTTTATTTCACTGGTCATAATTACACAAGAGGTGCCCATCTGCAAGTTATAATGGCTGCCATTTTATTTCAAGGGTATATCTAAGCCACAAAATTGAATTCAAGGAGTATCTTCGTAGCCTTTATTAGTGTAGCAAATTTAATCAAAGTCCATCAAAGGTTATAATGCAATATCCAGAAACATGAAATACCAAGTAGCTAATTAGAAACAACTACCTCATTTTTGGCATGATTATGTACAGCCTTCATTTATGAAGAAACATAACCTCTGTTAGAAAAGTCTGACCCTCTGGTTAGAAAAGTCTGCACTTCCAACTGTTCTATCCAGCAGTCCTGATGGATCTGAGTTCAGTCCCCCATACGACTGACTAAAGGTCCAGCAGCCTTGCCAATGTAGCCTGTGAACTCCAAGAAGCATATGTATACCTTCAGTACCACCCCAGGCATGATATACAGTAGGAACTCAAAATACCCTTGGGGTGGACCTGGCGGTGGCTCATGCCTATAGTCCAAGCACTTTGGGAGGCCAAAGCGGGAGGGTCGCTTGATGCCAGGAGTTCAAGACCAGCCTGAGCAACATCATAAGACCTTGCCTCTATTAAAAATAAAGAAAAACTGGCCTGGTATGGGAGCACGTGCCTGTAGTCGCCAGCTACTAGGGAGGCTGAGGTGGGAGGATCGATTGAGTCTACCAGGTTAAGGGTGCAGCAAGCTGTGATAACACCACTGCACTCCAGCCTGGGCAACGGAGTGAGACCCCGTGTCAAAAATAAATATGCTTGGGAAATCAGTTTCCTAAAGAGAAGCAGAAAGCATGGTTTTGAAGAGCACAGCTTCAAGTCAGACCAGTTCGGATGGCAATTTTGCTGCTTCTGATGACTAGCTGGGTAATCTCAGCAAAGTACTTTATTTCTCTGAGCCCATTTGACATGTATACAGGAGGTAAGAAGACCTACTTCATAGAGCTGTTGTGAGAATACACATGTATTCATGCAAATAAATTACTTGTCACAGTGTCTGGCATTCAGTACGGCTCAATAGATGGAGTATTATAATTATTACAGAGAAGACTGCCCAAAAGAGAGACCACACCCAAAACTTGACCCTGATTAGGATTATCTCAAACACAAATGTTTCTAAGAGCTTAATTCAAAGTATTGACAATCAATTTCAAATACCTGAATGGGCTAGTTCCTTTTAACCTAATAAATAACTTTCTATTAATTCCCAAATCTGAAATGTTTAAATGTTATCAGTCTCTAGGTAGAAGGTCCTTACCCTCAGCTTTCACACCCACCAACAGAATTGCACCCAAGCTCGTATCTCAGTGTGAAGAAATGTACAAACTTGAATGAGAAATGAGGCCAGATCTTTGATTAATTCAGTAATCCATGTACTGCTCTACACACATAAAAAAAAATTCTAAAAACGATCAAAACCTAAAATCTGAACACTAAAATTGTGCGTCACCAACAAAAGATTTCTAACGTCGAGCTTGAGATTGAAAGTAAATTAGAAAAACCTCCAAACAGAAAGTTTAAATGTAGTCTTTTAATTGCATTATTGTCCTAAGTTGAAATGTAGTCCAACTGATGCCATGATCAGATAATAAAGAATCTGTGAGATTCTATCTCCTCCTTTATCAAGAAATTTGATGTTGCCAAATTATTTGATGTTGGGAAAAAAAAAAAAACTTTAAAATCTAAAATTACCCAATTCTAAGCAAATAGCTTTTTCTACTTA